GTTCCTGCCTGGAAACTGAGGCCAAGCAACAATCCTAGGCAAAACAAGACTGGAAAAAATAAATTGGAAAATCGTTCAAAAATGTGTTCCAACCACAGACCTTGTTAAATGTTGAATTTTCTGAGTGACTTCAAGCAAATCTGACTGTTCTGACATTAAGGACACTTGATCTAATAGGAGGCCAAGTCATCAGAGAAACCTCAGTCCTATCTCATCTGTACGGAGGTCTCCTCTGCCGCTCCCTGGTAACTGCCCACCCCAAATCACCTGTTCTGCACACCAAAGTGCTGGAGTGACTTCTGCTCACAGCTCTCTACCAACATTGATTTCATTCAACCCAAGAGCAGTAGAAAGTACTTTTCTTCTGCAGCAGAGACTTTCTGCTCTCCCCACTCCCTCCTGAATGCAGTAAGTTCAAGTCACAGAAGTATTGCCACAGATCACACATCTGTCAAACAATTTAAAATGGCACTTCAGCAGCCAAGTCTAGACTAGGAATTCACAAGTCTGTGCAAACCCCAATGGCTAAACCATCAAAACAGCTTCTTCCTTATTGCTTTCCAAGTTTGTGTGAGACTACTGTGAGACTGAGCCGTATGAGCCCCACACAGAGCCCTGAGCCAGCAGGGCAGGAGAGGAGCTGGGACTTGCTGCTTCAGGAACCTGTTCAACGGCAGAAACTGAAGCAGCAGTCTGACAGCACTGCAGAGCACAAGTCTCCAGAGACAATCAGCACTGAGTATCCAGATGCTGGGGGTATTCCTGCATCACCCACTGCATTAGACTCTTGGGATGACAAGAGCTTGTCTCCACGTAGGTAACAACTAGCCACATTTCCCACCTCAGTCTCAGGATAAATCATTAAACAGACTAACATTCTGGGCCTATGTCATCTAGACTGTCATGGTAAGTCCTGTGTAAGGGGTAGCTGTTTCTCAAAGAGCAACAGAACAAACTCTGCAGAGGAGGTAACACTAAAGCCTGCTTACCATCATACTTGGCAATGTCGTCATCCGTGTCTTCCTTCTTGGTCTTCGACAACACCCACCTGAAACCAGAGGTGCACCTGGTCACTGAACCATCTGTGCAAAGCTCTAAAAAGCACAGGGAACCCAACTCTTGCTTCTAGGCTGTGAGCCTCTAACAGCTGACAGTCACCACCACGAACTTCGTGTAGTGCAAAGAACATGAAGAGAAAAACTGAAGTAGAGATCAGGCTAATGCAGCATTTCAAAAGATTTCCTAGAAATGTAAATGAATATACAACTCTGAAGTAATCTGATTCCTGATTTACTTAACTCTGAACATATTTTAGTTCTACATACCAGCTGGGTTTGGCAGAATGTAACATTATGTACGCACATAATGCAAAACATCCACAGAAAACAGCAAGTTTCAAGTATTAAAACCTTCACTATGACAAGGAAAGAAAAACATCAACCCAGAGAAGCCTCAAGTTTGTGACAGGAATAGCACAGAGGCCGAAATGAAGTGTCCCAGTGACAAATGCCATTACACATGGGACAGATGTCAAGTGCACACAGGGATCCAAGAGGGCAGACACACTCCCAATCTCAGCACTGTAAGCAGGGCAAACTCAGCCCAGCAAACTGGGGTGACACAGAGACAGGCACAGCGTACAGAGCAGGTGCTCACCTGGAGAGGGAAGCCCAGGAAGGGGCAGCTCACTCACCTGGCCACGCAGTGGTTCCACCCTGAGCCACACACAGGATGGTCTCAGGCCAGCAGCACCTCATCACTAGCCTGGAGGGAATTATTGCCCTTCACTCTCAACTGCCCTCTGCACAGACTGTGTCAGGGATGACTGTCTTTTCTGCTTGAATTCCAGTTACATTTGGCTAAATCTTTATTTTTCTCTCATGCCCACTAACCCAGAGTTTAACTCTCTGGCTTTGCATTACAATGTATTTGGAGCTTCCCAAGCCTAACCCCTGCAAAAATGCATTTTATAAAGACACTAGCAGGAAAATAAACACAAAGTCAGTCCTGCCACTGGAAGTCAAACAGCTTGGAAACAAGAGTTTGTCACTTTAAGGTATCAGCTTACCCAGACAATCCTCCATCAAAGGTTTCTGTGAAATACACTTCCCCAGTTGGCTCTGGAGTCTGGTACACAACCTAAGGGACACACAGGAACATTCTGACATGGAGTACAACTTCATTTGAAATACTCTGTCATACCTCCAGAAGTAACCCAGCCAGGCAGAGCGGCAGGTTTAGCTCCCTAGAAACATCCAGCAGAGTAAAACTCCTTCCCCTGCCCCTATTTCAGCAGCTGGGTTCACCCCTCTGACACTGAGCAATTCCATATCTAGGAATATTACAAGTTGCTATCTCTGGGCAAAGCTCATAACTAAAGCTTTTTTTAACATCTCATGTGTAACAAAACCCCAGAAAATTTACTGAACTTGCATCAATTCTCTGCTTCCTCCCTATTTCCTTCTACATGTTTTCCCTTCTGCTTTCCCATCTCCTTGGCCCATTACAATTGAGCTACACCTCAGAAAGTTGGGAAAGTGATTTATTAGTGTTACCCACTTCAATTCTGAAGTGTAGCACCACAACAGCATTAGATTTTTCAGGAATGAAGGCAGTGTCAAAGGCAGCCAGCATTAGGTTTTCCAGGAATGAAGGCAGTGTCAAAGGCAGCTGCAACTGATAAAATCAGAAACTGGTCCAAAGACAAACCCTCAGCCAGACCAAGACGCTTTCTGCTTTCTCCTCCAGAAATCACCTGTTAGGCCTTGCACCAAAGGTTCTGCATCCAGCCCGAAGTAAAACCTTTCTCATGCCTAGCCAGCACAGGCAGGAGATCTGTTTTCCAGGAATGAAGGCAGTGTCAAAGGCAGCTGCAACTGATAAAATCAGAAACTGGTCCAAAGACAAACCCTCAGCCAGACCAAGACGCTTTCTGCTTTCTCCTCCAGAAATCACCTGTTAGGCCTTGCACCAAAGGTTCTGCATCCAGCCCGAAGTAAAACCTTTCTCATGCCTAGCCAGCACAGGCAGGAGATCTCACACTTCAGCACAGGAGCCATTCATTAGGTTTGCACTGCATGTCACACCCAGCAGGCTGAGTTACTCTGTTGCTGTTTACACCCACTCCGGTGTCACCTGCACCTTCACTTGCTCTTTTCAAACGCATTTGTCCACCAATTTCTCTACTAGTTATACCTATGCATCTTGTATTGAACTAGCTTTGTCTAAAGGCTTCTGTACCTTACCTCTATGGAAGATTTCTCTCTGCCAGCATCAGCTTCTTGGGACTGTTTGCCAAAATCCTCCACTTCAACATCTGCATCCAGACTTTCCTCGTTCTCAACCTCTGCACTCACTGAGCTGATTATCAGCACACCCAGGCAAACCCAGTCCCACTGGAGGTGCATCCTGGATATCTGAAGAACTGAAAGTTTCAGATTTTAACTGCTGTTACAAGGATATTATCAAGGCTATTTCCATTTTACCCCAGACTTTATCTACAAGAGAAAAAACACATGAAAATAATGAGAAATAACTACCAGAAAGTGTTGCCACTATAATATTTTAGCAAAGTGCTGTATCTTAGTTTGATATTTTATTTTTTTTGCTACAGAGCCCTGACAGACTGTTTTCCTCCTTGTTGCCCCTATGGAAGAGCTTGCAGCCTGTTCCCTCACCTTGCAGGCCACACATGTAGCAGAATTTGATGGCTGTACACATACTTTTTTGAGAACTAAGTAAGAATGATTTTATTTTTCTCATCCTTTATAATCTGAACAAGTAATCAAATCAAATCAGTCTCTACAATGCAGCTGTAAGTAACATCCTGTTCATTGGGGAAAATACAATTGACAGACTTGGGATGTCCTACTGTCCACTGAGTGCCCAGTTTGCACCAGCTCCAGCCCTAAGTGCCAAAAGGAAGTATAAGATTGTTTCAGAAAATATTTTGTTTCAAAATTATCCAATAATTTTAAAGCTCAACTTGGTTAAAGCAAATGTTGAAGCTTAAATGCAAACACCTTTCTAATTTCAGGGAACCTGAAAATCTATTCTGTACAGGTATCAATGCAGGTATCTGGGCCTGAGCTGCTGCCCAGTCTTTTGTCTTCCCAGCTGTAAGACACAAACCCAGACTCCTGCTAACAGCACCCCGTGGCTGGGAGCAGTGCAGTGTCAAGCACACGGCTGTGCAAGGCTCCTCAAAGGTCTTGCAGAAAGTGCTGCTTTCCGAAATGTTTTCACCTGAGTTTGGGAACAGCAGGACAGGTTCTAGGTACCCCTGAGCAGGTATTTATCCTTTGGTTCTTAGTAACTTCTATTCACAGTAAGCTTAAAAACACAAGACCAATACTAATGTTTAGTTTGCTATTGTAAGGTATTTTCAAACCCTGCATCACTTTTAGCCATCCTGGTGATCATAAACGTGCTGCTCTGCCCTGAGGACACAGGTCCCTCCTAGTGACACCACTGCCCCTTGCAGAGTAAGCTCTTTACCACTGCAACTGTAAATATCCCAACAATTCCAGGCCCTATCCTAAACTGGGACAAGTCTCTTCCTTTCTTCACTGCCTCATCAGGTTTGCTGAGCAATTCCCACTGCCCCAGTAATTACTCATCATTCACCCTGCACCAAGAACTCACACAGAGCTCAAGCAGCCAAACAAACCTGCAGCAACTCCCCGAGCTCTGCATTCTCAGCCAGAAACAGCCACCAACACCCTTTCTCATTCGGAGGTGTAAAACTCTTATCTCCAGTGTCAACACACTGGCATTTCCTAGGGCCTAATATCAATCCCACCCAGGGCCATGAGGAGTAAAGGATTTTTTCCACACCCATAACCACAACCTGCTTTATTCCTCCTCCACACTGCTGCACTGGCACCTATCTGACCCAGGCAACACTTAGCTGAGCCTGAATGTTATTTTTCGGCCAAAACGAAGGAAGTTGGGGGGCAAACGCGCTCCGAGAAACGCCTTGGGCGCCTGACCGGCCACGAGC